ATAATTTCCGAATTTAAGGGCTTAAAAGTTGCTTTAAAATTTTGCTTTTTTTATAACTATCTATGTTTTAACTGTCTCTATTTTAAAATAAATTAAAATTTAGTACCAAATTTTTAGTGTGCTTTAATAAAGGTGAGAGAAATTTTTCTGTGTGAATACAGCAACTCAGTTCCTTACTATTGCATTATTCCAATAAACAAACCCAAACTTATGAGACTTCTTTCCTTCCCGAAGGCACATTGTCCCTGAAGGACTATTGTTTTCGTTTTGCGATTAGGCGTTGAATCATTATAAATGTCCGTTTCACTTTTCAAACTGCTGCCACCAAATGTTAGAGTCCTACATTATGTTTGAAGAAATTAAATAATAAAAAATCTACATAAATGTATGTATATTTCTCGCATTGTGATAAAACAACGGTACTTAGAGCCATCAAATTTTGAATGACGTAATCCTCCTACAAATATAGTCATGTGGAAAACCAAATTTGAAATTTGGAATTTGTTTTATTATCGATTTCATATTTTGTAAAACTTTAACGACTTTTTGAGTAACAAACTCAACGATTTAAAAGCGAGCAATAGCAACACTCTACCGGTGGGGGGGACTTTTTATCTCCAGCGTGCAGAACTGTGTATCGGAAATTCTAAAGGTATGCTCATTTTAAAATTATTTTGCGACATTGCTATTGAACTGAATTTTATGGTTTAAGTGCAAAGAATTATGATATTTAATAAATAAAGGTAACACACAAAACGTTAAAAAACGCGCCCCTTTGGGCGTAATTTAAAATCTGAAACCTTTCATTTTTTTTTTTTTTTTTTTTTTTTAAAAAGCAGGAAACTTGGACCTATTCGGGACTTGAACTCCAGACCTCCCGAATACGCGTCGAGTGTACATCCAATTACACCCCGAAGGCAAGCGGAAAGGAGGAAGAAAATACCTTATAATGTATCACAAATATATTTAACACTTCACTTGTATTAAACTATTTCTGCGATGATAATTACACATGACATTTTTTACTTCGCTCAAATTATTTTACATTTTAAACTTACTAATTACTTTGCTTCCGACAGTGATTTATAACGATATATTTTATTTTTTATTTATAAGTACTCATACATATTGTTTACTATTTATTTTATTCTACCAGTTTCACAAGTATGTTTATTTTTAACTTATGATGAATTATATTGTAATGAAACGTATGCATGCACTTAAAAGTGTTTCTTACCAGGGTTAATGATCTTTTCCTGGACTCCGGAAGAGCAAAGCTGGCTGTTACAAAAATGCTAAAATATAATAGAAGTTAGCATAGGTAACGTTAGTAAGCAACGTTAACTCCTATGCATGCGAACTTTAGGGCTATACTAGCAGTAAAAGAAGAAAACAATTATTAAAGTAGAAATACTTTCCCATAAACTTTCAAATATGCCTACGTCTAATTTTTTAATAATTATTAATATTCTTAAGCTGCTTCGTCGACGAGTAACTTAACCCCTGTTTGTAGTATATAAAATACGTTTTTAACATTGAAATTATTTTAGAGCTAAACAATTATCTTTAGCAGGAAACTGTTTATTTAATGATACTTAGAAAACCTGAAGTGGGTATTTAAGATGATTGTTTAGATAAGTCTTAGAGTAAAAGTACAATCTACATAACTATAGAATTAACTTTTTCTAGTACTAAATTTACGGTGACCGTAAAAGTGCCCACAGGAAAAATGCTCACAGAATAATGCTCACAGGTATAAAAGCTCACAGGAAAAAAGCCCACAAGGAAATATGCTCACATAGAAGAAAGCTCACATGGAAAAATGCTCACTTAGAAATATGTTCACATGCACAAATGCTCACATTAACCTTTTCAGCGGCGGTAAATAAAAGCATGAAAACTGTAGTAAAATTTTGCATGTACTGTAATATTTTATACCACTGCCCCTGTAGGACATTTTTTCCTGTAACTGCCAATAATTAATTTTTGTTTCTTTACTCTATTTTTGCATACTTTTGATGTGTATCGATAGAAATTGATATTTGAATGTAGTTATTCAAGTTTGGAGCCAAAAAAGTTGTAAAATTTCTGCAGAAATTAAAAATTTTAGAAATAAAATTAACATTTTTAGGCACTTTGATGATGCTTCTCAGTTGAAGATTATGATGCAGCCAGCCTTCAAAAAATCTCCTAAAACTACAAATTGTTGCGAAGGCTCTCATAACGCACTAAATTCATTATTTAATTGTAGCCATCCCAGTATGTGGTTTTTATTTGACGGGCTGAAAAAAGATTTAGCCTCTCAACTTTTTTTATTAGTCAATGTAAATACAGGATGTAATGAAGTAAAAAGAAAGAAAACATGAAAACTTACATTTGGTAATCGTGAATCATGTAAGAAAATATGATGAAATGGATGATAAAATTAAATATTTTAAGTAATTTAAATAAAATAATCATTCTAAATTCTCATTCATTATTCTTCTAAATGTTTATATTATAAAATGTGTAAATTATATTTATTATTATTTTATTTTATAACAATTAAAATTGTAATAATTTTTCACTGTACAATTCTGTTTCATATTTACTTCCTTTCCTCCTCTTCTTTTCTTAATTCAAAAACGGCCCATTTGTTAATCATGTACATAGCAACTGAAATCTACATGTAAGTTATACAGTTTTTGATATATATACGAGTATATACCCTAGATGTTTTGGTAATTTAAATAATTTTTCTTTAGAAAATTCAAGTAGGTGAACGATGTTCAAATCGATTAATTATTGATTCTTTAACGTAAGGATATTTCTATGTGAATTATTTATCAGTGCGCTTTTTTCCATATGAGCATACTTCTGTGTGAGCTTTTTCCGTGTGAGCATATTTCTAAGTGAGCATTTTTTCATGTGAGCTTTTTTCTATGTGGGCATATTTCTGTGTGTGCTTTTTTCCTGTGAGCATTTATGCCTGTGAGCATTATTCTGTGAGCATTATTCCTATGAGCTTTTTTCCTGTGGGCTTTTTACCTAGAACCTAAATTTACATATACTTCAATTTTAAAACACTTATTCAGTTTTTATTCTTCATCTGCTTCTCCTAACTGTCATAACGAAAATCTGCAGGATGGGAGTTAAAGTGCGAATGTAGAGTGGATACCAGAAACAGGCGAGTTTTCTCTCGTCACAGTAAAAGTAATTTCCTTGGCAGAATTCATAAAATAAAGACTGCGCTTATACAGCTGCTGTTCTAGATTAAAACATAAATCTGATAACTATCGCATGATAGTGTGATATATCATTTATATATAACTTAATATCACTTATATATATAATAAATATCACATATATATAACTTAATATCACTTATATATATAATAACTATCACATATATATAACTTAATATCACTTATATATATAATAACTATCACATATATAAACTTAATCACTATATATATATAACTATCGCATATATATAACTTAATATCACTTATATATATAATAACTATCACATATATATAACTTCATATATTATGTTCCAGGCATTGTTAGGCACGTTTCTGAGTTAGATACAAATTCATGACACAAAATTTTAAAAGCGAATAGGAACATAACTACGTTTTTAACATGTTTAAAAAGTCAAAAAAAAAAAAAAAAAAAAAAAAAAAATTATGAACAACCATTAAGTCAATTCCTGAGCAAGTAAAGTACAATGCAGTACTAATGTGGAAATTTGAAGTTAAAAATTTCATGTTTCCTATAAATAGCTGTCCTAGTTTCTTAAATATAATACAGGGACATTAAAATTACATTCTGGCTTTTTAAATTACAGGAATCAGAGGAAAAGAAAAATAATTGAAACAAAAATGAGATTTAATTTAGATATGCTAAAGCAAACAGTAAATTTCTTTATTCAGTTTACTTTGCTTATTATTACTTTGCTATTAATGAAGTATACTCATTAACGAAGTATATGTAAATTTAGTACTAGAAAAAGTTAATTCTATAGCTATGTAGATGATACTTTTACTCCAAGACTTATCTAAACAATCATCTTAAATACCCACGTCAGGTTTTCCGAGTATCATAAAAATATAGTTAGACAATTATATTTTTCATACTATGTACATAAATGTAAGAGGACAATGTAGAAGAAATTCAGTAAAATGAACTTCCTGTTGTAAATTTTAGAGCATTGGAAAATAAATAATATTTTGCGAAGCGCGATAAGTGTTATGCACGGAAATGTCATTTTTAAGGAAAAGTGAATGAGAAGCCCGTGATGAAATAAAGTGACACAGTCTTGTTGCGTAAGTTTCCGGCATAATATTTACATTAATGCGGCAACCTGTGTACTCAGGACGCATTATTTTAGCATTTCTTCTTACGTTTTCATAAAGCACACATACGCAGAATGGTCAACAACCGCTATTTGGAGCATGCTTGAAGTACATTTTAACCCTAACTTGAATCTTTGCGCTTACATAGGTGATATTCTGACCAGAAGGAGGTCACTATCGTTAGTTTTGATCGAGTAAAGAGGGTAAAATAATACCCATTCTAGGCTAGTGTTCATTACGTCTTAATCAATTCATTTTCATCTCTTTAGTTCCTCTTCCGGAGTCGTTATTTAAGTTTCTCATTTCAAACATTTTGTAAGTTCTTCTTGATTTACAAGTTTAAATGTTTTTCTGCACAATATTCTCACAATGAAAACATCAGAAGTAATTTTTCTGATTTAATTTTTATTATAATTTGATTCTTTTCAAATTCTTTTTGTAAGAGATTTATGAAACGCACTTTTTTATACTACGTGTAAGGCAATTTAGAATTAAAAAAAAATAAGAAGATTATGCTTTTTAAAAATGAAGCATTAGAAAATTGTTAATCTACCACGCATTACTTCAAGGTTACGTTTGTGGAAAAGTTGTCTTATATATATAACAGTTGTCCTAAATGCATAAGTATTGAAAATTTATACAGTCAAATAAAAATTACTTTCGTAACGTTTATAAGATACTTTATTACATAAGAAAAACATATCATTACATGTAAAAACTCTTTACAAAAACATTCCAGAGCACGTAGACGCTCAAAAATGATAATAAAATGAAAGATGAGAAGCGATATAAAATCTAAAATCTAAAAATATTCATAAATTAGGTTTGGACGCTATATGAATGGCACGAATTGCTGATTCTTTGTGTCAGGCCGTGCACCTCGGTTCAGGGTCATCTGAACAATATTCTGAAAATAAACAAAAGTAATATAAAAATATAGTTAGGCAGTTATATTTTTCATACTATATACACAAATGTAAGAGGACATAAAGAAGAAACAATGTAAGAGGACATAAACAAGAGACAATGTAATAGGACATGAGCATATGTAAGAGGTGTAATTAGAGCGAAGTTATCACTCATATTTAGATTTTTAATTATTATGCTACATGCCATTATAAAGTATTTCTTCAGTCTTCCTAGTACGCTTTCGTGGTGTGGTGACGGTGGGCGCGTATTCCAGAGGTCCTCGGTTCGATTCCCGGCAAAGGCTTCATTTATCAATCTCTCTTGCTTCCAATTAACCTAATGTCTCTACAGTGGCGCCCGAACTAAAAGAGTGGTAGATGAGGATTTCCCACACCCAGGATTTGGCGATTGGGTCCCCTAAAAACCCCAGTCGCCCTTTAAAAGGGGGAGTATATAAGATATTTCTCCCGCCTTCCTTGCATGCCTTCGTCGTGTGGTGATCTGCACGCTTTGCGCGTGCTCAAGAGGTTCGTGGTTCGATTCCTGTCGAAGGCGTTGCTCATTTTTTAATCTCTCTTGCTTCCAATTAACCTAAAGTCTCTACATCATGAATGAATTAATTTACCAGACCAGGAATCAATTAATTTACCAAGCATTTTATAAAAAAAGTCGAAATAGTCGAGGTTGTGATTTCGAGTAATAGCAAATTTATTAGTTGTTTTTAAATAAATGATGAACTGAATTCCGACTCTTCTTTTAATTTAATTATTTTGTTTTGTTTTCGACATTAATTTCTTAAGAACTTTATTGAATGAAATTTCAGCTTCACTGGCTTAGGGCCTATCACAACAGCTATTTATCAGCAGTAAATGCGCAATTCTTACTAGTAAAGATTTATTCAAGGTGCATGTCTTGCTGGCAACATGATGTTTTAGGGTTACAATCAGTTCTAAGGACTGGCGAAAAATTCTGACCATCATAAATTATCTTCAGCTTAGATTTCAAAATGAAATACAAAGTCATATTGTAGAGACATAAGGAATTTTTTTGAAAGCAGTTTTCAGTAAGCCATTCGTGCTTTATAATGGCAGTCCCATTCATGTTATATCTACTTCATACAAACATGCTAGTCTCCTTCATATGTATTTTGCGAAAACGTTTTATTACTGTTAATGAAAAAGCATTAGTTCTGCCACAGTAAAATCCCTACGGACGCTCACGTACTACGTACCACTACGTACCCTCACATAGACTTATATTTGTTAAGCAGTGGTTAGAGGACTAATACTATTGACATAATTGAATTTCACCAAACAGACGCGGTTTTATCAGAGAATCTTTAGAGAGAAATACTCAGCCAATATGTATTAAGCGCGTAAAATTACACCAAATGGATGTTTAAAGTTTATATTTTTAATGCCAATATTGAAGCCTTTGGTCTTATAAGCTAAAGTTGCTTCATATAAATATTAAATGCCACTTCTGATATTTCTGTCTTATAAGCTAAAGATGCTTTATATAAATATTAAATGTCCCATCTGATATTTCTGTCTTAAAAATTTGGTGACACAATATTTCTTAAAAAGAATTATGTTCACGAAAGTACTTTATATAAAATAACATTTACATTTTATTCTAAAACGTAAAATGCATTTGATTTTGTGTTCTCACTTTGTAAATAAAATATTTTATTTAAATATATTTATCTGATAGTAAATAATTAAAAATTGCGTTTATGTTGATAATTAAGGTAGTCTAATTAATACTCATAGGATGGCGCAGTAACCTTCACATCACAAAAACCGATTAACTATACTTAAAGAACTGAATTTTGATAATGGTAAACTTTTCTAATTCTTGTTCACTGAATCGAAAAATAAAGGGAGTTTAAACTGACAGAGTTGTAAATGGCTTTACCCTAAATCTTAGTACATTGAAAAAAACTAGAATAAAATATTTACAAAAAAGAGTTTATTTTAATGCATTCAAAAAAGAATCAAAAATCGTTTAAGTAAATCCTAAAATTTTCCTCTTTCTGAATCTTGTTATTGGTTGCATACTAACGCACATACGTGTTCCTAGCGATTCAGTCGAATCTTTTCGAAATCGTGGAATATTTCAAGGTGGAAATAAAAATTCTTTGTAACATTAGCTAGCTATTAGAAAGTTTGAATTTAAACGAGGAAATTTAAGCTACGAATGCACTCACTTAAATCTAGCAAGTGTACCATTAATTTAGATGTATGTATTCTTGAGCAGATTTTCCTAGAGCAGAAGATAAAAGTATAAATAACCAGAATGATATGCAAATCTGATACGAGTAACATAATAAAGGTGTGTATATCTCTAGCAAAATGAAACATAGGGGAGGTAAAAAGATAACGTTTTTCTTTAAAAAAGCAAACAACTATGGTAAAAACGTGAATACGTATTTTAATGTGGCAAAGCAAACAGCAGCTCCCTGGCTAAGGGAAGGGATGCCTACGTGAAATACTTCGGAAGGGAAGTTGGGTCGGATTCACGACCACATGTGAGGAAAACCAACCCTGCAGACTATTTACCTGGATTCGAACTAACAACATCTTGAGGTCTATGTTAATGGATTAATTAAATTTAATGGATGGTTCATTTAATGGTTTAAATGGACACTCTAAAAACACATAGGTTTTTAGAGTGCCCATTAAGAAATGAGAGAAATATCGCATATATAATCGCATGAAATATCACAAGTATGATCGCATGAAAATGCCCTAACTGGTTCACACCCAGTTGCCTGTAATTTGCAGTTATCAATCTTCCCTAATTTGTTTTCTCGCTCACAGCAGGGCTACATGTATGTACTGAAAAAATACGAATAATATAGAAAAGACTGAAGTTATTTTGAAGAGTAGAACCTTAAGACATTTTTTTGTGAATGGAACTAAAATTTTGCCCAGACAGAGAGGAGGGATGGCGAAGACGCCTTGAGGGCAATTTATGAGTTTCGATTCCGAAGCTGGATGGACTTCAGAGCAGAAAGAACTGAATAAAGGTGAGAATAGCATGTCGTGCCGTAAACACGCAGTGGCATCTGTACTGTTATTTACATGTGTAGTTAGGCGTTTGTTACCGTATGTTAATCGTAGATATTAGTTTATTAAAGTATAAAATAACATCAAAGTTGTTTATTGATGAAGTTGGTCTATTATTTAATTTAGAAGAATGATGAACTGAGAAGCTGAATGATGAGGGCATCCTATAGACAAGTGTACAAATTTGAATTATTTTATTTGAATCTCGATTGCTGTGAATTTGTTAAGAATAGCAGAGCTTACCTGATCATTAATCAGACTAAGCTCTGGTCGTAATATCACTCATACTATAGAGATATATATTAGACTGCAAATGGGTATAAATTCTAATTTCACTCATACTATAGAGATATATATTAGACTGCAAATGGGTATAAATTCTAATGTACATAATAAGCAAAACAATTACTTATGTGAATCACAGTATAAAAATTTCAAATCGAGCACTTTCTTTTATCATTCAGTATATTCATGACGAAACGGATACAAGAGTTGAACTTTATATTTTGAACCCAAAATTTCAGACAATTTTTAAACAATATTTTAAACTTCTTGTTTTACTTACTTTATTGATAAATTAAAATTTACTCGTGTTACATGCTGCTGATGGTAATGAGCATAAGCAATTTAGGCTACTGGTTTTACTGTAGCAGAACTAATGCTATTTCATTAGCAGTAATGAAACTTCACAAAGTACATATGAAGGAGACTAACATGTTTGTATGACGTAGACATAGCATGAATGTTTGTTTATAGCTCCACTTAATATCTGAAGTAGTGACCGGGAAAAAAATTAGTCATTTAAGAGAATCATCATTTGATCTATATCACTTTGGGTTTCATAAGGTTAAAATTTGATGCATTTTAATTTTTTGCTATTGTGACCATTAAATCATGAAGGCTTGGTGAATATGGCTCATATTGCAACCGGTAATGTTACTAAGTAACAAAATTTTTTATGTTATGCTTTTATTCGAAATATTGTTTATTTAAAAGAAAGCATATGGCTGCAACATGAAATGTCTCTAGTCACCTTGAAGACGCATGATAGAAATCCTTTCACGGAGCAATTTGCAGTCAGTGTTCCAAACTTTAGTAGTAAGAAATATTCAACTGGTTTTTTTTCTTTCCAGCGAAGACTAATGAATTCTGCTTTCAAACAGTTAAATTAGGGTGCAGCAACTGAAAAGTGTCGTTTCTGAAACAGGTTTCTATTATTCTTGGGTTTTGTACAAACCATTTATAGAAGACAAACACATCCGCACCCAAAACGAGGATGGTGCAATGAGTGGAAAATGAATAAATATAAAAATTACTGTTCTCGAATAGTAAATTAGGCTATTTTTATTTTGCATCAGCCGTCTGCTTCGATTAAATATAAATTTTACTCTTAAATATTTAGAACTTAATTTTATATTCCCTTCTTGTTACTGTTTTCAAATAAAGCTGAAGTTTAGATTTAAATTGAAAATTTAACAATGACTTCGAACTTTTTAAATGTTTAAAAACTACATGCCATCTAATGAAATTCAATGATATTAAAGTCCGAAATTATGTTAGTAAGCACTGACTGGTCGACAGATGAGGAAAGGAATGACTTGTTTTTGCTGCTTGTATAATCTATATTGTTTAATAGATGATAGCTCTGAAATGAAAAAATCAACAACTTGAATGCAAATTAATTAACAAAATTCAGTATTTGCTGATTTAAAAACAGGGCAATGTGAAGGCTGAAATTTCTCAATCACTTCAATACGGAAATATTGATTCAGTCTGATGAAAATAAAATTTTCAATATGCCTTTAAAAAATTATTTATTCACAGAAAGTCGATAAAAAATGTTAGCAGAGTCTAATTACTCAGCTTTGAGCAACGTTCGAGTCCCAGACAAGGCATGAATGTTTTTAACTGCAGTATCTTTGAAGAGGAGAGCATTTAGAATTTGTCGATCACAAAGTCTTTTTAAATAGTTCTGGTGGGGGCGGAGAAGGTATGATTCTCTCATTTTCTTTCCCGAGATACCCTCTGTCATTATTGAAATGTATCTTGTCAGTCAACCGTCGTACGTTTTGCTTAAACGGAAAGGGAGCAGAACAATTCGTTCAAACCTTATAAGACAAATGGTACTACAAAAATTAAATTAAAGTGTAAAATATTTTGAGATAAGAAGCGCTGTGGAAGGAGAGATTGAGATGACTCAAGAAGTAGTAAGCAAAAAAAGAGTGTTATGATATTGTAAGATGATCAGAATTCTAGCTAAAACACAGTGAAATTCTCCGCTAACTCTAACCGTGCATTTCCGAATAAATGTAGAGAATCTAGTTGCACTTAGTCAACTTTGAAGCAAGACATCTGTATTAATCCCTATACGGCTAAATTAAAAGACAGGATTTCACTTTTTGTCTATCATCCATAACGATCTTCTTTTAAAATCGAACCCGAATTAAGAGCGAACAATTATTAATGGGAAGGAGGCTCCTCATGCACAGCATCTAAGTTGCAATTAAACTTTACTCATTAAAACATTTGTCATGATAATAACACAAGTATCGTTTTTGGCATTTTTATTTTGAATTTTAGTTAAATAATTCAAAATAAAAATGCCAAAATTAATTAATTTTGAATTTTAGTTAAATAGTTAAAACGGTGATTTGCATCATTACTGTATTCCTCGTTTTGTTACGTACTCGCTCAGTCCAGAGTACTATGCAGGTTTGATTAGCAAATGGTTTAGCAAAGTGAGGGAGGGAAATTTTACTGGATGAGCAGAAATAGTTATAAGTTTGACTGCACATGCAGCTGTCGCGCTTGCATGTTGTTTAGGGAACACCGTTGCTCTAGTGAATTTTATTTACTAGACATTAGCCGAGATGTTAAGTTAAATCTGAATTAGATTTTAATTTGTCCGACCCTAAGTCTTGTAGCTTTGATAGGAAATACTTAGCTTGTATCTAAGAGAATTTTATGTTTCAGCCTTTCTTTGCTTTTTCAAGGAGACTGATATTTTGTTTAATATTATTTTAATTTACCTTCATAATTGATGACAGGAATAAAGTTAATTTAACTAGAATAAAAGTGAAAGTTGCATTTAGGAACTTTAAGAACTTTTCTAGTTAGTTAGTCAAAAATCGATTTTATAGTTTTGGTAGTGCAATAGGATTTGAATTTATAGTTTTGCTGGTTAATGCAAACATCGTTTCGTTAGTGGGTATCAATAAGGTTGATCAATGAATCCTTTACTAGTGGATGCACACTGCAAATGCTTGCCTGTCTGTCTTTCAGTGATAAGTTACTGCGCTTATAAAACACATTCTTTCAAGGTTTTTCAAGTTTCATACATACAACAACTAACTAAAATTTATTTCTTAATTTTTCACAGACATTAGCATGTTATTTTAACTTCAACTGAAGAAGACTGTTGTCATTTTGCGTGGTAACTCTCCTTGGTGTTTTCTTTCTCTGCCAAGTATAAAAAAATGTCACATTGAGACTATTAATGAATTTGCTTTGCAACGAGGTTAAAGAAACATTTTATTATGATTTCTTTAACCAGACATTCCTGCATTTCGTCCCTAAGTAATTTTAACATCTACAAAAATATTCTTTGGAGACTCTGTTTCAGTCAGTGTCCGTTGAAAACATCGCGAAGAAAATAACACACGGCGTAAATGTTGTCCTACGAAACACCGAGAGAGAATAAAAAACAAGAAGAAAAATTCCAGTTCTAAAACATCGCGGTATAAAATATCGCCGTCGAAAACAAAGCATTTCGAGTTTTCACAGTTAAAAAACATCGTTGTCAAAAATATCGTGGCAAAAAATAAAGCACTTACAAATCATCACATGGCGATAGTACCGCAGGCATGCGTTTTTCAGGCTATAAAGGTTCTAAATGCATATTCACGTAAGGATTTGTCAGGGCACGAAGGAATGAGAAATATTTTTGCTTTTGTATTTCATATTTTGGAATTAATTGATAAATATAACTGCACTCCCTGTACATGAAAATGTAAACGAGACTTAAAAAAACGAATAAAAGAAACAAAATAAGATTTAATTTTCATTAAAAGGATATCAGATTTATAAAAATGAAAGAAAGTAATTTTACAACTTGATAGCTAATTAAACAGTTTTAATAGAGGTAATTTCGTGAAATTATTTACCTTCCTTTTTCTAATCTTTTTTTCGGACTATATTTTCATGAAATATTATTAATAAAACTTCATAAAAATGATTAATTAATTAGTGATCTTTATTAGTTAATTACGGAAGTTTAAAATTATATTAACAGCTATAAGCAGCACTAAATTACTACTCAGGTTCCGTTTTTAAATGCTTAAGTTTTTTCTTACTTTTCAACAAGAATTTATTTGTTAAACTAAAAAAGTATAAAATTTTTTAAAAAAGTAATGCATAGTTTAAAAAGTACATATAAAGGTAAAAATATTCCTCTTCCTTTTTTTTTTTTTTTTTTTTTTTTTTTTTTTAAGTCATTATTCGAATATGCATTTTCAGCTTTCAAAGTCTGGCATGTCTGCCATGTTTCCGTCATGCGATGATTTGTTAAATACTTAATTTTTTATCACGATATTTTCGACCAGGATGTTTTTAAACTGCAAAGCTTTATTTACGACAACGATGTTTGTACCACGATGTATTATAGCCACGATGCTTGCCCTTCCTTTCTTTTCTAACACGATGTTTTGTACGATAATGCTTTTCGCCTTGCGTAATTTTCTTTGCGGCGTTTTATTTCGCGTTGTTTTTGAAAGGATGTGTTCGACTGTAACCACCTCGGTTTACTCTCTCTGATCGAAAAAAGCGCGTACTGCGATTTCATGAACAGATCTTCGATTACAAAAGGATCTTGGGCGTATGATATAGCATTATACCCTAAAAAAATATCAGAAATCAGAGAATTTTAGAAAAGACTGCTAATAGATATAATTGTTTTCGTTGTTGTCGTTGGTAAGGTTGTATCTGAAGAGTCACATGTTTTGTCGCGATGTTTTAAACGTCGCTGAGATTTTAAAGGTGCATCAATTTTTAACTCCTTAGTGAAGTATTTTTGAAATGATGGGCTATTTATATAAGTTTTGAATCGGTGTCAAGTTTTATAACAGGCTTGGGAGTTAAAAATAATGTTTAATGAGATGTTGCCGGAATTAGGCATCAAGGAATATTTTACACAAAATTAAGTTCTAAAAGACATTTAAACTTACTGTTTCCTTTTTCGCATGGACAATAATCCATATATAAATCCAGCTTCACTTGACTAACTGAGCATCTCTCATTTTTCTTCATCTTTCTGGTGCACTTCCTTTTCCCATTTTTTTCCTGCAAACAGCATCCACTTTCACACTCAAAGCTGAACTGGCAAGGATCCCCAAAAGCTCTCTCCGTCTGAAAAAAAAACAATAAAAGGGGCTTTAATTGGCTTGTTCCAGTTACAAAAATCATAATAAAAACTAATATTTTAAGATTTAAAAATTTTGCATAAGAAATTTTATATCTGCTTGTTAAAAGTCCCTTCTCGCCAAAACAACAAATTTATATATACAGTCCGGATAGCATGCGCAAAAGGTTTCATATTAAATAATGTAAAGTTTGTTTACCACATTTCAAAAAAAAATTCAGTATTGAAATCTTAAATCGGCCTAATCTTCTCATATGCATTTTCGAGACATTTTATAAGTTCCCCATTTAAACATTTAAACTTTATTGTATGTAGGCAGTTTTAATAGCTTAGTTTATCAGATTAATTTACATGGTAAACAAATGTTGGAAGCGTCATCTATATATCAGACATATCTTCTTTTGCCATCATTTCAGCATATATATGCTTAGGTTTGCCTTTTACATGTACCAAATCCATCATAATGGAAAATATTTAATATTCAATTTTCTCCTATTGTACACTGTAGTATTCAGTAAATTAAATTTAATAAAAAAATACTACTGCTACTACTACCAATAATAATAATAATAATTTAATAAGACTACTGAGTAGTATATTAAATTTTATAAGATTTGCTGTCAAAACTGCTGTTCTCATCGCCGCGCGTTTCATATTTAGGATGTCATAAAAAGTAGATGCAGGCTTTATTCACTTAAATATTAATCCTAAGCAGGTATTTTCAAGCAGAAAGATTTTCAAAGTGATGTTCAGAATATTAAGAAACCCTCTGCAACACTGGTATTACAGGGCCATTAAATACAAAATACAAAATTTTATGCAAATACTACATTTTACGCACTTCCGGTAAAGAAGAAATCCTAGGTAATGAAACGTGCACTACGCTTTAGCGAACTAAATATAAAACGGGGTGTATTTCCCTACGGGCAAAATTTGAACAGCACTTCGAGAACGAATTTACTAACTTAGAACATCACTTTTCAATTCCTAATTCCGAACAAAATTTCAATTAAACTTATAGAGCAGTTAAAAAGCAAAAATTACTCGCGTTAATAATAAATGACTCTGTATCGGATAAAATAGATCTCATTATTAACTTAATACCTGGCCTTGGGGAAAATATGCATTATAAATAACTCTATGGATTTTGCGCGTAAAGGTATTGAAGCATTTAATTTATGAAAGCCTGAGGAATATCTCAGTGAATAGAACTTTCGCTCTACAAGTACTAGATAAAAATTAATTTTATATTTTCAGATTTCTCGCAATTTAGCTTAAAATTAAAAAAAAATTCTTTATCTTAATAAATAAGTAAATACGACTCAGAGATTTAATATCTATGATGAATATATTTAAGCGCTGAAAGCATGTAACCACACATTTTAAACATCACGCATAGTCATGGCAATCACCTTCCGTAGACGACCACGTCTAAAAGCCACTTGAATTTGTGACAAAATAAAAATATACATTATAGGCGTGTGTATTGAGTGTGGTTATAAGAAACTTAGCAGATATATGAACTCACAGCGGCCTATCCACTCAGCCAATCGAAATGAAGTTTCAGATATTGTTATTTGAAGGTAAGCGCTCCAAACTGGTATGATTCAAAACAAAAGTGAGCTATATTGTTTTAAATATTAAAACTTTTCGAATAGCGATTATGCTTAGAATGATAAATTTTTAAATCACGGTTACACTTGGAATGAAAAATATTCGAAATTTTCGAATGGTAACACCCCCTTTTTTCCTCTGGAAATTGATCAGCATAACAAAAAACCACAAATGATGTTAGAACAATGTATGTAGGATAAAAATTGTCGCGTAACACATTTACAAAGAACAACATTGGAAATTACCAATGACAGCCCAAAAGAGGAAATAGAAAAACACTTTCGTTGGAATTACAAGTTTTCAACTTGGCCACCTTAGTTTCAGTAATCGCGAGTTGGTGCCGTATGTTAAACTTTATTTGGGTTAATAAAAGATAAATTATTCGGTAGTGTAATGTCAATATTACTATGTATTCATACTAGAATGTAGCTTTCTTTTAAATAAATCATATGGTATTTGTTACCGATAACTTGTTCCACGAGTGGTTTTCAATTTTTTTGTTCTTACTATAATCTTCTTCTTCGGAAATTAAATTATTCTCATAAGTTCCCCTTCTTGATTTTCGTACGATAAAATTAGTAAAAAAAAAAGGGGGAATCTATATCCTTGTATGAAGGACTATCTGTCCCTGAATCATGAAATTTCAAACAAACAAACAAAGTCAAATCCGCGTTTTAAAGTTATTACTGTCGCATAAGGATTATTTAAGTTTTAGCATAAGTAACTCTTTCTGGTGATGCTTCATATTTTCGTAAAAGATGTGTTGATTTAAAAGTTTTAAGGAATCCAAGGGCCTTAAATAGATCTTTTAACTCTTTCTTGATAAGAAAAAATATTAAAAAAATAACACAGACGTTTTTCTGCAGAATTTGCTTCAATTTTTCTTAATTTTTTTTTAACCAGTTTTCAGACTTTGTGAAAATTTACAGCTTCTGTTATGGTCAGAGTTGGTGCTCTGAATTTTACATTTAGTATTTAATAATAATGAATTTTATATAGACTATTTAATAATATTAATGAATGAAATTTAATATTAATGAATTTTATATTACAGTATTTAAAGATTAAAAATTGAATATAAGCAATTTAAATCAGCAGAATCTAAATGAGCGTTTAAACGAAACATATTTTGCGCTTTTTCTCTTTGTATTACACTTATAGAAACAAGTTCTGTGAGAAACTAAATAAACAGCGGTGCATCTGCTTTTATCTGACTCAATCGTATTTTCCTTTAAATCACATATTTTCTAGCTTAGATATTTTCCAGACTAATTCCCGTTTATGAAAAAGTAAAATGAAAACGGGAACCATCTTATCTCAAGAATTTCCCTTCTGATGTCGAGCTGCGATAATTTTAGGCTCCGATTTTTATGAGTTCTATGTGGCTAATTCCATTGCTTTCCTTTAAGATCTAGTTCAAAAAGCGATACATGCTACAGAATCTATATTCTCGGTCTCGAAAACGTGTGATAAATGTAATGAGCCTGTAAAATTATGTAGCATTTTTCGCTGAATTTGTATAGATTATACTTTATGAGGTTGCTAAAGATTCATATTCAGAATTCTATACGTTAAATCCTGTACACTGCTTTCTCATTGTTTTCGTTTAGTTTAGGAAACCTTTTCTTTATATTTGTATATATTACATAGTTTACTTAATACTAAAACTCTCACAGAAAAAAGAAATATTTTCTAAAATAAGAACTGTAGTATATACTTATGATTAGGACTGTAATCTTTTCGTGAGGAAAAATTCCTCGAAAACTTTTACGAATTTTACAGTATTTTCTGATTACAAAAATTTTCTGCTTCTCTCAAATAAATTCGAAATTTTAAATACGTCTCTTATTATTTTATCTCTTTATTTTCTATAATAATTTTTTAGCTTTCCATAGTTAAATAGCTTTAAAATATTTAAACATTTTTAATTAAAAATTAATTAAAATATAATAATATTTTACCTGAGTCTATATGAAAATTATACCGCAAAGTAATCTTGCTCCAAAATACAGCCAAAACTTTTGATCTCTTATTACAGAACTTTATCTTAAACTGCTAAATAAGCTTTAAGGTCTTGTTGTATAAAATATTAAGTAGAATTCTTATTATTTTCTCAATTGAAAGCGTCACTTTGTCATTCAGCTACAAACTTCTCCAAAAAATATAAGATGTTTGATAATGGTCAATTAAAACCTTTGGACTTTTTAGACTTCGATGATTTGGTATTTTTAGGAGCATTCCTATATTCAAGAAGCTTGGTCACTAGTTAATATCCGAATTATTTTCATATAAAACAAGTGTAAATAAGTTCCATAGTTAAAGGAAAATTCCCTAGATTTCTGGAAAAGAAGAAATATATGTACTACATAAATTCACAGTTCATTGATTGGCATTATCCAAAACCAGTATTGTTTGTGGATAGTTCAATGAAACCTTTTGTAAATTTATAAATTTAGAATGATACTTTTGTAAATTTGGAAACGTGTTATAGGACAAGAGACTTTACAGTGAGTCCGACGTTGGCCTTCGCCAGCTGAGGTTTGTTCAAAATCTAGCCAACTCTTGTTAGGTTTTTCACATTTATGAATCTAAACCTTAAACTTAAACTCAAAATTTTAATTTATCCGAAATCCCGCAAGTTGTAGAGATTAATCTGTGAGCACAAGCGGTACATTTGTTAAGTTTTAAATAAAAAAGATTTGCTTAAATCTTCTTCTGAACTGATTTAATAGATGGGGGAAAGTCACCTGCTAAGTTTATCTTAAGTCTCCTGCCAGTGTCAATAAGAACCAAGTTAAATTAATTAAAGGTGGCAGCCTATAACCTTTCAAAGATTAGTAGAAATAGAATACTATTCTAAGTGAAGAAAGCTACTAAAAAAAGATAAAACTAGAAAATAATTATACCAGCCGTTTACTCAGTTGAGACTAAGTAATTTAATTTTACATGAGAAGTAAAAGAACTTATGTTATCCAAGGAAAGAAAAGTTTATTCCACGCTTGTTCTCAGAGAGTTAAATTAAAAAAATTGAACATTAAAAGAGAGTTAAATTAAAATAAACAGAGAATTAAATTAAAAAAATTAAACTCTAAAATTAAACATTAAAGATCTCATTGCTTTTGTTGAAAACATTTTGCATTATGAATTCCCGGAATTTTTTGTGTAGCTGTAAAGTTTCTTTGTTTACATATAAATATTTTCTCCAACATTTTCAGGAAAAAAACTGAAACAATCGATATTTGGGTTTACAAAATATGCCATTGAATCAAAAGTGATTATTCTTGCAGTAACAATGCCAACCATGGCAGCTGAAGAGAAATTATGATAAAAATAGGGCTGTCAGTAAATGTCAGTAATTATTATTTTGTGTCTT